TAACTGAATCAGACATTAGCTGGACGCTGGTCAGTGACAAAGTGTTTCTCTCTGCGGCATCTGGCAGAAAAAAGCAGAAATAAATATATAACCGGATGAGAGTATGGTTAATACAATCTAACCATTCTAAACTTATTTTTTTATTGAAAATACAAAATACAACTTATGGAACTACCATCAAACGAGGTAACTTTCTACAATGTTTCGTCAATTCGAAGATAAAGGTAATATTGTTGAATTAAATAAAAATATGTTTTATCAAATCTGTAATAGTAACCTTATGTTCGCCAACAATCTTTTGTTACATGTTTGATACACAAAATTCGGAAATATCTGCGACATATCTCACTAAACAGGATAACTTTGGTCACTGATTAAACAAATTACTTGCCAGTAATTACGGCCATTTGAAATTCATAAGGAAGAGATCTGTGAATGAGTAATTTCAAGATTTACCTGAACTTTTATTTCGGCATACGGAATTTTATTTGAACTAGCATATATGATTTCAGTCGAGATCCTCGCTGACCATAATCTAGAATAATAGTTAATTCTATTTTTTCTAGAGCCTACAGATTCAAAAGCTAAGCTCAATATCCTAGGAAATTCTGTTGTGGGTAAGGGCTGGGAGCAATTTCTGTTGTGGGTATTATACAGATTCAGTTTTAAATAAAGATTTTTTCATATAGGCCATTTTCGCGACTAATATTCAAGAAATTTGTACAAATTATATTCTGAAAGATATAAAAACGGAAACTGAAAACAGAAAATTCTTTGTATAATATTAAAAAACAAAAAAATAATTGGATGGAAACATTGAAGGGAAACAATTTGGTATTTCAAGAATCACACCGTGTATTGCTAAGAACCGTGAAAATTGACATATTTGAACTTTAATTTTATTCGTTAGGTTAAAGACGCTTTATGGCCAAATATATGCTTCTGCAGTACCTCTTTATTACTACATACGGTGATAAAATATCTTCTCTCCTGGCTGCTCCTGACAATGGCGCACAAGCTCTTGGCGAAGGGGTAGCAAATTATTTGTCCTGGCATAACCCAAATCTATATTTATTACATTTTGCGAATTACTTCAAACAGAAATTGGATAAAATCAACTACTAGATGCGTCGCTAGTGATACTTTATCTACTCGAGACAAATATCTCACACACACGACTGTCGTCACTCGTGGGGTTATATCTTTCTCCTCGTAGATAATGTAAATATTTTTACCATCTATACACGTTTACCAAAATTAAATTTCTACATTTATCATTCGATAAAAATCCCATAGCAATTTCAAAGCCTCGGCGCGCTGGAAAGAAAGAACTGCTCGGCGCGGCCCTGGGCGCCCCACGCGGAGACGTCTGCGGCGCCAACGGACGCCCAAAGATTGGAACCGCAGACCTCCAAAGGGAGGCGTGCGCACAAAGGCAAGAAGTTGCATTCCTTACGCCTTATCTCACCCATCCGTCAGGCGCGTCAGCCCCCCAACTTTTTTCATCACTCTCCACACGATTCCACATTCCCGTTCTCATCGCTTTCGACTGCGCCGCACCGCGCCGTAATTCCCTCGGCGCCGCTCACCGCCCCCCCTCCCGCCACGGGGCTTTCGGCCTTTTCCACCAACTCGTTTGTAGCAGCAGCTAGGTAGATGTTCCCTGGGTCACCACGTTTGAAGTTATGTCTAGTAGTCAACCTGGCTTGTATTCTGGTATCTCATCGTACGCAATTCAACTGAGATGAATTAATACAAGATAGTTGACTAGCTTACACTGAGGAAAATATCTAAACTTCCAACAACGTTCTTATACTTGGAATGATCTTGTTCCATAAAAACGAAACAATTATATTGAACTAATCAAATCAAAGTAATTCTAAGCAGTCCACCCGGCTGCAATGCGATTATTGTCCTAATAATATTTCTGTCTGCTTAACAGCTGGGGTAGGGGTGAAACGATGTTGCTACTTACTCGGGAGGCCGACATGTAATGTGATCAATCTTTTACCGGAACACAAAACTAGCAAGAAACAAATCGCAATAAGAGCCCACAACAGTAGACGATACAGAATCACACACACGATGCATAACCATAGAAGTATTGGCGCTCTTCAATTTACAAATACATCGCGCAGTAAGATTTTATGTTTTTCTTAATAAGTATCGGTAACTTTAAAGTGACGTCAGCAGAATTTGAAGCCGCTGATCGAATAACGAACCCCCTATCCACAGTCAGCCGTTAGCTGTCTAGTAGACAGAAATATTATTCGAACTATAAGTGAATCGAGCGAGCTGTTATGTAATAAACGCCCACGTTGCTACAGAAAACATCCATTTGGGCCGTTTTTACTAACCGCCCGAGTCCTACAACCGGGAATATGCTGACTGCAAACAAGTATTTTTCTTTCAATCTCCAATGTACATGTATATTTGCTTAAATGTAAACTGTGAAATCGGTTTCTCTTTTCCTCAAAACAGTATGTTTTTTTCATCTCTTTCTCACGGGAGTTATAAGAGTTTGTAAAACATTAGAGCATCAAATATAAACCGAGTTTACATCAAATATCAAAATACATACGTTTAATATTGTATAATATTTAATTTACCAATATGTCTTAGTTTGTGGTACTTTGTGGCGAGAAGTCTGATCTCCATTTTACATCTACGAATAAAATCTGACGTAAACAATAAGATATAAAATATTCATAGAATTCAGGTTTAATGATATTGTGCTATGAGTATAACACAGACATGTATCAATTCAGTTATGATAGAATATCGAATGAAGCATTTCAATTGAAAGTGTATCCTCTGAGATAATCAATCACTCTCAATAATAGAACGTCAGGTTAATGCACGTACGTCCATTCATGTAACTTATTCTTCTTAAATTACGTAATCTACGGTCCCGAGGCAACTGACACATGTCCCTTTGTGATGATAAATGTAATAAAGTATATTAATGGAAATTGATCGTATATCATTTTAGCCACAATAATTAAATTATTTTGTCACACCCAACATGCATGGAATCCTGCGCATGCATTCAGGCAGCAGTATATGCATCTCAACAGATGCCGAGAAAATGTGGCATTGACAATCTAACACCATAACCACAACAATTGTCTCTGACAGGGTGACACAATCGTTCAATATTTTTATTTATTCGGTGTGTTCTTCATTAAACTATATTTTGAAAGCGCAAAAATAAAACACAAGAATTTACGAACATCATTAACGTTTCAATAAAAATAAACAGAGCCTAGAGCATCGCAGAGAGCAGAGTCAATATTCAGAACGAACCGAAATTCGTGGGAAAAACACTCATCTTATTCAGAGGGAAAATAACTGAACAAAACACAAATAAATTCATGACAAGGCAACCATAAGAATTAACCTATTTACGCGCTATGAGAATATCCCAAACAAGAAGAAAACTAAACTGGACATTAGGAGGAAACTTTAATTATTCTACTAATATTTCAATATATCCATGACGACATGACGGCGACATGATTAAAGCAGGTATTTTTAATATCAATATTTTCGTTGTCATTTTTTGTTTGAGAATGAAAAATTTCCATAACATAATTTTATAAAAGAGAATAGAAGTGAATGAAATAATAATTGATGATACTAAGGTGAGTTTGCATAAACAAACGTTGTTGATATACGTACTAATTATATCAAGCGGACTTATCTTTTCTCGAGGAGATAACCCCAGTGCCGTGGTACCTCCTACGCCTTTACTCGTGTCTCATTAGCATGCCTCATGTCTCAACGCATGTGCAGTAGGAATAGGGAGGGTGTCCTCCTCCTTCTCGTGTTCTTTAAGGTGAACTGAGGAAGCTCTGATCCCTCAAGATGAGCGCTCGCTCAGCCTTTCAGATTAGTTTTGTTAATTGTTCTTATAATTTTCAAGTTTGTTCTGTCAGTTAAACTTTAATTAAAATTTAATATAATAGAGCCCTGACGAGTTAAATTCCCCAGCTTGACCGTCAATGTTGCAGATATTTAAACCACTTTAAAAAAACAATAACAAAACATAACATAACATTTAATAAAACAAAGTGTTAATTATTACATTACATTTGTTTAAAATTTGAAACATATACGTTTTGAAACATCAATATTGTGTTCTCACTGTGGCATTTCAGAAGCGAAGTTGGCCATGGCCATTGTCTGTAGCCGTGAATCCGCGAGCGAACACAGGTTGCTCGAGCGTACGATGCTCGAGGATACAATGCTTGAGCGAGTACGAGCGAGTACGAGCGAGACAATTGCTCGCCCAGCAGATCTCTAGTCGAGACCGTGAAGCGCGAGCGAAATAGCCTCGAGTGGGGTTGGAGAGCATAATGAAAACCCAACCCAAATTTTCAGGCATCACCATCACGCAAATTACCAAAACAGTTCTTGGACCCTCCATAACCTCCTTTCGCATCTTATCAACCACATGAAACAGTTTTGTTCTTGATGCGTGAGCTGCATTTTTATAGTTTCACATTTTCTGTATTTCTTATTCGGTTAGTTTTTCTGCTGCCAAGGGCCTAACTGGCCAAAGGCATGTAATTATTCAAAAACAACAAGCAAAACAATTCTTCGACCCTCCATAACCTCCTTTCGAATCTTATCAACCACATGAAATAGTTTTACACTAACATTTTTATTGTTACTCATTTTTTGAATTTCTTATTTGGTTAGTTTTTCTGCTGCCAAGGGCCTAACTGGCCAAAGACATGTAATTATTCAATATAAAAAAATACAAATTTCAGGCATGTGAGAGCGTAGGCTTCCGCGGCTGGAGTCAGTATTTAATTGGCTGTCCGGGTGACAATTCTGCGACCTTCCTTACGAGGAAGGTCGCAGAATGCGAACGGCACCTTTGCCATGATCGCGGCGTCACCCGGACAGCCAATTAAACCGACGCCTTTGCCATGATCGCGGCGTCACCCGGACAGCCAATTAAAATCCTTTCCAGGCCTGGCGTCGCCACTCACCGGTCGAGCGTGAGCTCCTCGAGCTGGTTGAGGTCGCAGGCGATGTACTCGAGCGCGGCGTCCGTGATGCGCGGGCACCACGACAGGTCGAGCGAGCGCAGCTTCTGCAGGTTCTCGGCGATCAGCTCCACGCCGTCGTCCGTGATCTTGCTGCACCCCGACAGGCTGAGCACCGTCAGGTTCGGCAGCGAGTGCACTGCGAACACGGGGTGAAGCACAAGGTCATTCGCGCTCAAGTGTCGGACAAGCTAAATAATGGGAATAGGAACGCATAAGAGTTAGAACCATGTAAATACTTTTTTTGTTATATAAAGTCGCATAAACATGTTGGTCATTAGCGACCTCTTTTGCGTGTAACGGTATGGTAACTATGAGGATGACACGATATAATGATAGGGGTGTCAAAGGATGAACACAATACAACCATGCCCGAGGCGGGACTCGAACCCGCGATCCTTCGGTCCGATAACGCCACGGCACATGTAAATATATGAACACATAGTTTGCAAGAAACAAGAACACAATGCTAAAGGAAGAAAATCTAATATATTCAAAAATAGAACTAACTTTCATTATTTTAGTTCTGCGTTTCCTGGATATCTATTGGAACGCCTCTGTCATGATGTAGATGGAAAGTATCAGAACTTTCGTTTGCAGATAAATATGAAATGAAGAATAATTTAGACGATACAATGGAATGCGTTGCGATATGTATATTGTACGATCACACACTGAAAACATGAGAACCTTGATAGAGCTTAGAAACCAAAACCCTAGAACAGATATTTAGTAGCAGTCTTCTACGCCATTTGGATGAATAATTGTAGAACGTTAAAGTGAGAGACGCCATAAAATGTGTGTGTAATTTGTTTAATTTTAATTGCCATTCATTGTATGATTAGTTGACCATTTTATTTCATAAAACAACTGACTGTTTCATGTAAACTGTTCCAAATCATCAAAGTTCCAATAAGATAACTTTCTCTTAAAGTTCATTTGGTTATGTGGATAAAACTTCAGTTTACTTAAGAGCAATCGATACAATTGAGTTGTAGCGAAGATCGTCTGCTATTCAGAGCGAAAATATTTCGTTTGTGTGTCTGTGATTCTTTTGAATAACAAGGTGGTCTTACAAAAAGTATTGAACATCACACGACTATTAACAACAAAACAAAACTGCTTTTTTCGGCGACTAATGTTAGCAACTGTAACAACAGCACCGTACAACGTACCATCAAATGGATCAATGCTCACATTTCATGTAATAGACTTCTTTCTAAAATAACCTACTTTATCAATTGATTTGATTAATTGGAACTTTCTGTAAAAAATGCAAACGTAACGATCCGATAAGTAATGCATTTAAGGATTGTTTATCATCATAAAAACATTATGACAATTTGTATCGGATTTATATTTCAAAAGAAAAGAGTTTAAAAGCGATAATAGCGCAGCTGCCCAGCCCCACTGCCGGAAAGCACTCCATTCGTCGTCAATGGCTCGTAAAATCCGCATCGAACCAAATCGCATGCCGTTGGTCATTTCCAGAGTGGAATGTAAATTTTCGGATCCACAAACGCAAACTAACGATGTTACGAACGTCGCTACGACACGCTACTCGTGATTTTTAATATAATTTTCAGCGACATTTTTATATACTAACAGCTATTGGAAGGTAGTATATCAGAATGTAATGACTAAGGATAAGCATGCCAAACCGTACCCACACAAACTACTCGCACTCAGGCTCTAACAGGGAAACTCATTACAAAGCGCGCTCCAAATATCACGAAGAATGATTGCTTGCTGGGTGTAAGTTTAAGTACAATTGAGCTACTAGTAAGCATGACGTTTTCTATCCTACAACCGCGATTTGAATTATGTTTATATACTTTACTACTCATTACTTACTTATTTCATGTTTATTTTCTTTTATTTTTAAATTCTGACATGAACAGACATTTTTTCCTGAGGGCAGGGATGTCAAAGGAATGACGAATTCTTCCTTGTTTTTGTTTCGAGTTCATTCATTAAATCATTCAGTTATTAGTAATAATGTGTAATAAATTAACGGGTCTTTATAAGTTAACCAGTCTTGCTTACGGGCGGACAGCTCTTTAACAAACAAATCTTGCTTTATTAAACCTTCTAACCCAAACGTAGGACGTAAATGCAACTATTGCACTTACATAAACACGATTACAAAATCAACATTCTTTCGTTTCAAAATGTTTAATTTTACTCTCAATTGACAATTTAAAATATGACTGATGTATTATATCGTTTTTGTGGAATATTGCTTTGATTTAGCAAATAAAATGGAACTGCATATGTATTTTGAAGTAATAAATGTTAAATTACTTGTCTAAAAAACTGCCATGTGCCAGGTATCCAGTGACATACCGCCACCGCGGATCAATTTGTACAGTTCTGACTTTAACGGGAAGTTGTAGCCTTGCCTGTAAGTTTGTATCTGTAAGGCTTGTTAACTGTCCCGCGATCTCGACATGCCTAGCCTACGCAGTTCTAATGATATTTCCTAGCAATTATTAAAATAGTTCGCTTAAGTTCAATGAAACACTAATTCATCTCACGCTAATAATTCAATCCACATGTAGAAGTGAGATAAAGTTTGAAAGAAGTTATTGTTCACGTCCAGAATTATATTATCCTAAAACTTAATAAATATTATTAAGTCATCTTCTACATCTGTTACGAATATAGCTCCCGGGAGTTTTAAAATTACTTTTCTTCAACCTTTCAGCAATTTGCTTTAACATCCCTAAACAATATAGTATTCAATATCATTAAAACTCTCCCAGAGTCAGTATAATGTATAAAATGTTAGGAGAATTGATAAAAAGCTATGGGAAAGGCGATTACCAGAAAAGTTATCCGAAATCAATTTATTTCTCCAACTATCATAATTGATAAGCAATATTTTCATGATTTATATAATGTGTGAAAAATTGAAGAGCGTGGCAATGCTAGTAACTCTGTAATCATTCTCCATTTACTCAAAAGGTTTCTAGTATACTAGCGTAACATCATCAAACAAAATCAAAGTATTACGACAGAAGTGGAACGGCAACGTCTATTCGTATTAAATAATACTGAATATATCGTTATTTCAAATCGGGTTCATGGTACCCGTGGAAACCACACATCGAAATATATGAGCTTCCATCACGCAATTAAGGTAATGTATCTATAATGTGATCTAGAAGAAGAAGAAGAAGAAGAAGAAGAAGAAGAAGAAGAACCTCTCAGGGATTGGACACTTTCCAATTGTTACGTTTGTGGTGAATTTTGCGGGGTTTTTATGCAAGTTTAAATATGCACAAAACATACAACAACGGCTCGTAAACCCCATTGGTTAATATTAATGTCCTTTAAAAGACCTTACTCTAAGATCATGTCCATCTTTTCGCAAATCTAACACACATTTCCACTGCCCACAAAGTAACAAAGGCAGCCGAAGGTACGTAGGGCCAGTAAACAGTAATGAAGAGCCCCATTTCCAGATATAATTTGCAGCGCGTACATCACATCGCCATACCGAGAACATAAGAGCCACTCACCGCCAGCAAGGCTATTTCGCGCTTCAACACTCGCGCGTTAAAGACACCAGAACAACGACTCGTCATTACAACAGCTGAACGTCGCCGCCTCATTCGCGTGCGCTGGGAAATCCAGCCACCGCACCGCACCGCGCTGCCTGGACGCAAAACCAGCCGAGACGGTTCCCGAGACGCGAACCAACGCCCGGGGGTTTATCTCCGCCGTTCGGCGAAGGCCCTGAGCGACGCGTGGGCGAAGCGACGCAAGAAGCGGCGAGAGGAGCGCGAACGGATGATCCGTGCTGCGAAGCCGCTGCAAGAACTGGAGGTTCGCTCGGGGGCTCGTCTGAAGGGCGCCGTGCGGTGCTTCGCTGTACGGGAGGACGGGGTTCGATGTGGAAGCTCCGCAGCAGAGCACGTCCTGCGGCGTTAGCACGCGAGTTTTTATTTCCCTCTTGTGTGTCCTTTGGCCTTCGAGGCACTATCGGCGCGGTGCATTTGCTGCCTGGGGACCCACTGAGTCTCTGTGCGAAGAGTAATGGAAGCGCCCCGTGTCATACAGTACACTTCACGGCCTTGAGAAACAACGCTGCTAAACCTAAAAATAATCAGAATAGTTTGAAGGGATGGTGATTATTATTATTATTATTATTATTATTATTATTATTAATTATTATTATATTATTATTGTTGGCATATAGGCCATTACTGACCACGCTACACGATTAAGGTGTTTAATTTTTCCAGGATCAGCTTATCAACTGTATCTCTCAGTACGACAAGGTTGTTACTCCTAGAAGTGTGAATTATGAGACGATTGGATAATGTTGAGAGGTGAAGGGACAGTCACAAATACCACCATGTCTATGCAGGATTCGTACCTGCAGCCTCCTCGGTGCAGCCGACAGCTGCTGCAACCGTCTGCGCCGTGAAGCCGATTGTTATTATTGTTATTGTTATTATTATTATTATTATTATTATTTTGTTAAAATATTGAAATATGTAATATTGTTTTACACGTAATATAGAAGTATTCAATTTCATGCATTTGCCGTTTTAAGAATAATTTTCTGCATTAATCTAGCTGAAATGGAGCAATTATATCACACACAAGGAAGAGTAGAAAAGTTACAATAGAAAATTCCTACATACGCAATGTAAGGGAAATCGAAAATTCAGAAGATTGTGTTTCATATAGTTCTTTATGTACACTCCAAGACTAATAAAAAGGGGTTTTGAAAATTCTGAAGTAAAACCTTTAGAGTTTTAAATATATAAGTTGCACATGTCCAAAGAATAGGAAATAAATACTTATAAACATGGCTTTCCTACTGCCTAGCACTCACCGCTATCGACAAAAGTTATCGTTCCGCTCTGGGAACGAATCGTCTCTAAGGGTCTCGCCCTCAATTATAACTTCTTTGAACATCTCCTACATCAACTACGAGATGTCTCATGGGGTTTACTTCAAAAAGAAAGAAAAATAACATTTATTGTTATATTTTCGTGGATTGTCAAATGTAATATAACCAACAGCACTTTGATACTGAACTTGCAATACATAAATAAAGAAAAACTTTTGGAAAATTCAAAGAGTGCTATATCTTATCTAATACAGTCATCAAAATGTATCTCT